ACTTATGGCTTACTCACTGGGGGCTTTGGGTGGGGATGCTGTAAAGTGCTTTGAGACGATGTAATGTTGTGATAATGCGCTATACAAGAATAAATTTGTTTGTTGTTTGTTCTTATGTTGGGGTAAATCCTCACAAATCATACAAAGTTTACTTCTCTTAACTATTTATTATCTCTGCACTATTTATTTACTGCCTGTTTGCACCTTGCACGCCTGTTACTGTGATGGTAAGTGTACTATATGTTACTATATGTTACTATATGTTGCACCGGGGCCATGGAGAAACGTTGCTTCATCACTCTTTGTACATGTATGACACTGCGGATGACAATAAAGTGACCTTGAACCTTAATCGTTTAACATTCTTTGATTATTTCTAAACATTACCACCAGTATTTATGTAGCAATTTTTAAAGCATTATGTCAAAATTGCTAGGTGTTTCCACAATTTTGGCCACTAGTGTAGAATACCATCTCAAGATACTCAAATTTTGACTGAACCTGGTGTGTTAAGACCACAATAATTAAAGCACAACCACAATCAGCCAGATGAGATGGGATGAGATGTAGGCATGAGGTGTGTATTTACACGTCTGTGCTTTACCCATCCAGCCGGCAGTGGGATGACCTGGCTTCCTTCTACAGGAGCACCACCTAGTTGACATTAAGAATTTCCAGTTTGGCCCCTCCTCACGCATCCACCCCACCCATCCCACCCTGACCTGCAAGGTCCATCCCTGGTCTGCCTTCTGGCCTCCTTGTGTGTGATTGGATGGTATCTGGACTGATCACCCCTGCAGCCACTGGCTACGAGCTGTGTGAGCATCACACCAAGAGAAAATCACCAGGGTGCCCAGGATCAGGTGGGAGTCTGCGACCGGGACGCTGCCTTATCTGTTCCGCCGGCAGTTGTGCAAATGTCACATTCACATATAGGCCCAGTCTATAAATCATTTGTACATCTGAATCTGATAACCGATTAATAAGGAGCTCAGAATGATGTCAAGGGCTGTTCTTATCTTTCCATTCCCCTGCTAATTTGTGGTCTGTGTCCAGCTTATCCCTATTGTTAATTTCCCCCCAATGGTGTATCAAATGTTGTATCAAATCCCCTTTCAGGGGGGTGGGGGGAGGTCTGGGAGAATCAGACATTAGGGTAGCTGTGAGCATACTGTAGACTTTGCACAGCAGTAAAATGCCTGTATAATATTAGGCAGCCGGGGATATTACTTTATGATCTGTTTTGTTTATACTGGTAAGAAGTGCTGCGTTATGAAAAGTTTACATCATCCAGGACATTGATGGCAGAGAAATAAATAAAGCATAAAATAATTTAAGTCCAGCGTTCCTAATGGACACTGTTGGCTAAGCCAGTGTCTCCCTCAGGGACCCCCAGACTGACCAGGAGCTGTGAGGGAGCAAAAACATGGACTGTCTTGGGATCCCAGAGGACTGGGTTGGGAAATGCTGGACTAAGCAATTCAGGAGGCAACTGCCAGCGCAGGCTGAGAGTTTCCATCACATAATACTTAATCACCTCCTTACTTCAAACGCGTGTGATGAGAAATTCACGGACGATCATTTCCTGTTCAGATCGATACCGTGCTTTTCACGTTGCGCTCGGATAATTAGCCCACACTGTGCCTGGTAATTGCCCGGCTGAGCAGATTATTCGTATTTGTTTAGCATTCTCGTGTGTTCATCTGTTCCCCCCCCCCCAGCCAAAGTCAGAGGATGCGGATTAACTCCCAGTCTCTCTAAGGGACACAAAAGTCTGACTGCACTTCATCCCTGAACTCCCGGATGCGATCAATATCTGGTTAAACAATGATCTGAAGAACTGTGGTGGTAATGGGGTGCTGTTTCAATTCATTTGAATAATGTAAATGATTCGTGGCTGGTACACAAGTAGAATGACAGAACATTGCAGTAAGTCCCCAGGTTAAGAAAGTTCCAATTAATGGACAACTTGTACTTAGAAACAGAATACCATTAAGCCTATTATTTAAAAAATCTGAGTTAAGTACAATGGTTCGTAATAACAAATGCATGCGCTACATTGTGACGCTCATGAAAACATTGCATGGCTTCAGCTGTTTGTCGGCTTGTGGTACAGTACTGTACCGTGTGTAGTTAGGGTTATTATTACTGTATAATTATTATTAGTGTGTACCTTACTATTGTTTTTCTGATTTACTAATGAATTACACTTAAAGATAGACTTAGAGAACAGATCTCATCCTAACCTGCGGACTGCATGCGTATGTTTTGTCATCATAAACATCATGATGTCTTTATGTCTCTGGGGTGAAGGTAGTGCATGCCCATGTTTAACAACAACATGCGCACGTACTAAACGTAGAAAACGGTGTAGAAAACCTATTGAACATTTCAGAGGAATTAACACATTTTCTTTAAGAGAGTGAAGCAACATTCCAGTTGCAGTAACAGGGTACGAGGATTACAGAAGATTACAGCATGTGTGACATCAGAAGGAGAACGTGGACGTTGTGAAACCAGTGAGCGCCGAAACTTCTGCCACTGCGGAGTTTTCTTCCTGGTCCCACCCGACAATTTAGCGAAAGGTTGTTTACGAAATGAGGTTTGTTTAAGAACAAGGTACGCAGAAGCATGGCAGAGGAGCAGATTCAGGACAATGGCCTTATTGACCAACGTTACGTGTGGTTCAGTACCTTGAGGGACCTTGGCACATACTTGTCAACCAGCCTGAGCCAAGGCGGGGGGGGGAGTTACTGTATGGTAAAAGTTGTGAAACGGGGTGGGGGATTGCCAAAGGGGGCAGTTGCTCAGGCATCCCAATACCCCCCATGGACTTGCTGAGGTAACTTGGGGAGGGGGCTGCCCTCATCCTGTCCCCCCATCCTGGTGTCTGAGCCATAAACGACCCGTCGATTCTGTCTCCCAGTCAGTAATCACACCGGAGGGTGGTCCTGCACTGGCCGACTGAATGAAGCAGCACTTCACCCCACCTACAGATACGTGCCCTGCATGTCCCGGGGCCCAGTCTGTGGCCCCAGCTCTGCTCCCCCCATCTCTGCTACCTCCCTAGACAAAGCGACTTTGGGCTGCAGCTGTAGATAATTATTGTGGTTTGAAGATCGGCGATAACCCGCTTGTTGCACCTGCCTCTAGTACTTTGACACTGCAGTCTTTTAACCGCAGCTAATTTTTGCATAGCTAGTAATGCGAAGTGGTATGTTTTGCCGAATGATGCAGCAAGACTAGCCCAGACTGTTGCATTATGGGAAGTCCCCTAAACCGCAGCCTTAAAAACTGTCACAAAACAAATAATACCCGACATAAGATGTACGTACCGTGTCATCTTATATATCATTTATATTTAAATTGATTTATACTTATATGTCCTTGTTTGCACTGTATTGTCTTTTGCCTTGAGTTTTGCAGTACTTGTATATATCTGTGCATGTTTGCTACAGCATACAAATGAATTTCTCTCCGCAACCAAAAATGTTCGGTCCCACCACTCATTTTTAAGGCACCATTTCCAGAAAACAGACACAGGTTATGTTAAAAACAAAGTTTGTTTATTTATCCTTTTCTCCATTAGATTTCTTTTTTTTTCTCATCATGAATTTTGAAAAAAGACACAAATAAAGAAATGCAACTGACAGTCTGGGAAGAAAACAAACAGAACGACCATAGCCTCACGACACATATTTTTGTCTATGTGGAAGACAATGTTTCTTTTTTCTGTCCAATGTTGTGGTCTGGAAAGTTTAACACGTTAAACACGTTTAAAAGCTGAAGTCTGTATCTAGAACTCAACATGCTTGCCATTATTAGCCAGAGAATGCACACACACACACACACACACACACGCTCACGCACACACAGACACACACATACTGTATACAGAACACAGAGATGCCAGGTCAGGATTCTGGCAGAAGAAATAAAATCGTGATGGGGAGGAGGGATTTGGGCTGTGCCGGGCTGGCACAGAGGCGGGGCAGAAAGGCCAAGGATGGAGGGGGGGGGGGAATCATTGTCGAGAGCAAGACGGGGGCCGCTGGTCTCACTATAAACAGAGCCAGAGCAGACTGGTCCAGAGAGTGCCATAGCTGTGCCATAACGGTGCCTAGTGGAACAGGAATCACCTGTCAGTGCCTGCAATTCTGCTTCGGGTCGAGAGCGATCAAGGAACCAGAGACAGCTGTGGTCCATGAGGACCGAGATGACAGGCTGCAGTTACGGCAGTGCATTGCGACTGATCTATCTATCTATCTATCTATCTATCTATCTATCTATCTATCTATCTATCTACCGCCTATCTACCTACATTTTGCTCCATATCTAACTAGTTATGTTAAATCTATAAGTGATTATTGCATCCATATTGAAAAAAAGAATTGTCCATGCAATCATCACCCCTTTTCAGTTTATCTGCGCTTATCTAAGAGAACCTACCGAAAGCGAAAGCATCAACATGGCCGCCTGCGTGCAGACTGTTTCATCTGGACTCATGCTCACACCCACAGCTCTCGTTTCTGTTTTAGCTTTTGAGAAAAACATGCCCGCTGCCTTGTTTCTCTCCACTGTCCCTGCGATGCGATCTGGGGGTCATCGATAAATGGCACCTCTTCTGAGGCTTCTGGGCATGCGGTTCTGGTCTGCCGGTCTCGCCTCAGACATCCTTGCTGCCTCTCTCCTTAAAGGGCGTCGCTGTTTGTCACACTATAGCCGCTTGATCCATGGTATCGGGAGGTATTGACATTGTCAAAGCACATGAAATCAGAAACTATCAATTCTCCATTAGTTGAGGGCTTTGCCGTGAAATTTCAGGTGAACCAACACCTAACATTCTTGCAGCAGGCAAAAATTAAGAACAAAAATCTAATCTTCACTTCAGCTTTGAAGGCCAGAAACTACATTTTCTGTTGGGATAAGATTCAGGAACTCCCAGATATGGGCTACACATGATGTAATTTCACCTAAAAACGAAAACTCATGCTACGGATCGCTTTGGCTTCTGAGCCCTTGTGGAGCATATCGATTCGCTGCATAGCCACTGCTGAATCTCCAGGAGAAGCCTTTTCTTAAAAGCCAGAGAAGAGTGAGTCGGCCTTCAGGTGGCCGCTGCAGCCAAGGGAACAAACACAAAGTTTTAAAAAGCTAACTAAATTATTAACTAAGCTAACTAAGCACATTTTCCAAATATCCCCTTAAAAATATTTCTGATATTCAAATAGTTTTCATGAAAATATTTTTCAATTAAATAATCTCATATATAAATAAAATAATACAGACTTTATTTACTGATTCGTTATGTACATAATTATATCAAACTAAGAAATGCCATTTATAGCATTGTGAAAAGAGTGCAGAATGACTCAGCACTGCCCCCTGGTGGCCTTCCTGCATAGCTACAGCTGGCTTCCACCAATCAAAGCCCTTCCCGCAATCATCGGCCTATCATCTATCCTTAATCTCCTATTCCACGTCAACAATCACGGAACAGGCAGCTGCATAATGAGCAAAACTTGGAGCAGGACATAATCAAGCCGGTGCAGTGATTGCCTTCAGGGACCAAGAGATGTAATTGACGGCGGATTTTCAAGCCACATGAAGAGAGACTGCTCTGTCATGAACGCACAAGCCCAAAACGCTTCCATAATCATCTTGAGCGTACATAGCGTCACCATGGCTTTTAGGTAGCGGTACAGAAGTGATATGTGATCAGCTGGGAATAATCTGACCTCAGAGTTGCTGCCTCAGTGGAGATACCTGGAAGGACTTCGATTTACTGTTGTTTTCGCTCTCTGACCAGCGATGCCCCATCTGCCTCGGGGAAACACTCGCCCTCCATGCTCCGATTTGTGATGCTGGCGGGGGAGAATGACATTGGATGCCGATCTCACCCCACCCTAAGCCCCACCTCCCAGTGTCTGTGTGTCCCCCCCTTGGCCCGCCTCCAACACACTGTGCCCGCCTCTTGGTTGGGGAACGCATAAAACATTAATTCAGACCGTGTTGACAAATACACGCCTCTGCATCCCCTCCCTCAGTTTTCCTCTGGGGGGCTAAAAATGCTGTCCCACTCCCACCCACACCCCACCCCACCCCACAGTGCCCAACCCACACACAATATTCTTTTTTTTTTTTTTTGAAAATCCATCCAGAACAAACATTAACATGCTGTATTTTAACCACATTGAGAATCATGACATTTTGTTCTCCTTTAGTATTCTTTTTTCTTCTTTGATGAAAGAATATGTACATACATATGTAAATATGCCACGTGGCGGGGATGTGAACATGATGCTGACAAGGGGGTAGGAAGAGGGTGGAGGAGGAGAGGGACAGAGAGACAGCATTGACCACGTGACCTGCTCTTGTGCTTGGATTTTTCACCAGCATTTGGCCCGTGCACAGTTTCACCAGTCTGCAGGATGGCCTCGTTACGGGTACACGACGCACCCTGGGGCTCATTCACTCGACACCAAGTAGGCCGACGGCCGACAAGATACTGACAGAGCGGCCCGAAAGCTTGGTGCGGCCGGCCCGGTCCGGGGTAAAAACAGAACCGCGCCGTCTCATTACGGCAGCCCTGCTGAAATCCAGGACCCCACCATCAGCATGACAGCACACGTGATGGAGGTTATTGCTGCTTTGCGTGGGGTCGTGCGGCGCCGGTCATCGTGGAGACGCTACTGCTCCCGGCGCGGCATTCCCAACTCAAATTTTGCATAGACACACCGCGCTGTGACCGGAGCGCTGCCGCCCTCGCCGCCGCTTACAGGGGGCCGCGTAACTGGATTGTGGGGGACCCTACGCCGCACCCCGCCCGTGCAGGAAAAGTACCGCGGCAGGACGGTTTGTCCTTCGGAGACTCCCACCGACAGCCGGGCCGCGCGTGATTTACGACTCCGGTCCCTCGTCGCCTGGAGGGAGGAGATGTGCATCCCTCCCCCCGCTCCATAGCCCATGCTGAGCGAAGCCTTTATCTAACCCCTCGGTGCTAACATGGTGGCGAGCTGCGCCGTTTTGATTATTCTCGGGTTTCGCTAAAAAAAAAAAACACACGAACAACATGAACTGTGATGAATCCACGTCACACGGACAACGCGACTCACGTCTCTATGTACACACCGTAGAAAACAAACAATGGCTGACTGATTGCTTCTTTTTTTTTGGAAGAAGAAAGCCATCTGAGATCCGCTTCAGATTCTTTAAACAGATCGTCGTGGGGCAAATCAGGGTACGCCACCTTGAAAACTTTTTACAGCTCCTTTTGGCTAAATGAACGTGCTTTTCCCAGAGCAAGATACAAAATATATCCACACACAGCTCGTAGTCGGCTCTGTCACGGTTTGTCACGTGGGATTAATATCATATTTATTCAAATACTCATTAACATCGTCATTATTAACACCAGAAATAAGAGCGATTAAGCAGAGAACACCTGACACAGTGCAGCGCAAGGCGGCCGGATGGCTCACGACAGGAACATTTCTAACCAGTACATGCTATCAACAAGCGACAAGGGGAATGAGCATTCAATGCAGGGGGGCGGTGCCCTCCTGGTGATTCGGAGACAGAGAGTATTCTGGGTAACGTAGTTTTATTGACCACTGGGTCATGGATAGCCTCCATATTGAATATTTACAATGAGAACAGACAAGGCAGGAGGAACAAAGAGTTACAAATGGGGGGGTGGGTGGAGGCATATGGTGGGGACGTTTCTGGCGGTGTTGGTGGGGAGTATTTCTCACATGGCTCTGAGGTCCAAATTTAGAGGGGTAAAAAAGGAGGGGAGAGGGGCAGGGACAACGTAGGTGCCATTTGATCCGGACGTCACAATCACTACTGGACTTCCGCTAACGTTATGGCCTTTGCCCTTATCATCAGTGTTAAGGTCTGCACCATCCCGCCAGTGTACGCCGCGCGTTCTGGGCCAGCGTGTGGATGGGACTCCCCTGCGACTCCCACACAAATTTGCTGTCATTACAGGGGCTTAGCACTCGTCAATACTGGCATCGCGGTTATTTCACACACAAATCGTCGCCCGCCAATTAGAGTTATATTTATGCGCCGTGATCATTAGCGCCACTGTGGACACCCCTGACATCATACTTGTCCTGAGTGACATAATCGCAGCGACCCTCGTGGGTTACAGAGAGGACAGACAGTGCCCGGTGGAGCAGAGTAGGGTGGTGACACTGGACACAGGGGACGTGACTGGGGTGGGAGGGGGGGCTTGGCGATGCGATGATGGCTCCTGGGAAAATGCATATCGTTTTTGTTCACAGTGATGGGTTCGTAGTTAAAGACTCCTTTCTTCTGCCGGCCAAAATGCCCCCCCCCCTAGATCTTCAGCAGGAGAGACAGGAGGAGGCAGAGACACACCCCCGGGCCAGAGCTCACAACAGCGCCCATGGCTCGGCTGTACACAGCCCCCGGCCCTGCGGAGGGGGGGTTAGGTGAAGGGGGGGGGGGAGCCAAATGGCAGAGAAAGGAAAAACACAGGGAGAAAAGAAGGGGTCAGAGCAAAAGAGAAGGGCAGGAACAACAGCCAAGCAGACAGCAGGGGAGGAATAGGGATGGAGGGGGTGATGGAAGAGGAGGAGGAGCAGGAGTGAGGGAGCACCTGGGGATGGACAATCAGCAAAGCAAGGAATAGGCAGAGGAGTTATCAGATGACGGCCAATGGGGCTGCATCAGAGATAGGACAGAAGATTAGAGGCAGGAGGACGGACAGGGAGATCTGGGAGATACGGGAGACAACGGCAGTGCCGTGGAACCGCCATGTGGACGCAGCTCTATGAGATGATGGTGAGGAATGAGCCACGCGGAGAAGAATATCGAGGACTCGTCTCAGATGGCGGGGGGG